ATCCTGCTGCTCTGCCCGTGGCTGTGACCTGTGCCGTGCACCGTGGCACCAGGCACGCCGTGGCCACCATCACCCACCTGGCCGGGGGGCCCTGCCTCTCCCACCAGCACTCTCCCGGCATCGCCCTCCCGGGGGCGCGGGGCAGGGCTGGGGGTGCACACGCAGCCCCGACCAGGCAGAGCGACCCCAGCCCTGTCCCGTCCCCCCCCGCCAGCAGGACCTGCACGGGGACCGTCAAGGTCACGCTGCTTGAACAAAAGGGACCCGGAGCCCGGTGACCAGAGACCTTCCCTGAAGGACAAATGGCCCCGGCCGTGCTGCGGCATCACTGGGGAGGAGGCAAAGGGCTGGTGTGTGTTTAAAAGACCCCAAGGGCTGGCGCCAGGCCCCGAGAGACCCCGTAACGCGCTCAGGGCCAGCAGGGATGAGCTGAAACCGCCCCCAGGCCGCAGCTCGTGCCAACACCCATCACCACGACGCTCGAGACGTGCCGGGGCAGGGTGGTGGTTGGTGCTGACATGGCAGCCGGGGTGACGGCAGGGAGCAAAACCGGAGGACAAGCGTGCCAGGAGCAGAGGGGACGGCGACAACCGGCTTTGCAGAGCGCGGCAACGCCAGGGCTCCTCACCGCCTCACGGGCTGGGGGCTCGGCCCGGCGGCTTCTGCAGGGGACGCCGCCCGAAAAGGCTCCTCGGAGCTGGGGCCGCCACCACACCATGTCCCTGTCCCCTGTCCCCCCCCCCCCACCCCCCCCCCCCCCGACGCTGACAGCGGTGCTCAGCTCAGGCGCCTTGGGCTGGGCCCAGGCCCCGGGGCAGCTCCCAGGACAGACCGGATCATCCACCTCGGATCATCCATCATCCACCTCGGATCATCCACCTCGCCCTGAAGAGCAGCTTCTCCCCCGGAGCCGTGAAGGGAAACGTTCCTCTCAGCCCGAGCCGCGAAGCACCAGCTCAACCCCCTCCCCTCCCGTCCTGCCAAAAGCCTTTGGAATCCCGATTTTAAGATGAGAAAAGAATGGTTTGGGATCTCGGCGCCCTGCCACGCGTCCTCGGCAGCTTCCCCCCGGGGAGAGGGGCCGGTTCTGAAGCAGCGGGAACCCACCCGCCCCTCAATTCGCTTTACCTCACGCAGCAAGAAGAGTGAGGCGCCTGCCCGGGGCGAGCCCAGCGAGGGCTCGAAACCCCACAACTGAAGTTAAACAGACGGAAGCGCCGTTATCCAGCAAAGAACAGGGGGTTTGGGGTTTCCAGCAAAGAACAGGGGGTTTCGTTCATCTACTAAACCCACTCGAAGAGAAGCGTTTGCTGCCTTGCGTTGACCGAAAAGGGGGGCCAAAATAAAAAAAAAAAAAAAAGGGAAATCTTCAGGAGAACATCAAGTCGTGATTAAGGCTGAAGAGTTTTGCTCGCCCGTGCCCCGGCCCAGACGCCGCCCCAGGAACCGCAAGGCCAGAGAGAGACACACAGAGAGAGAGAGAGAGAGATGGGAGAAATTTCTTTATTTACACGTGGAAAAGGCTCCCCGCAGCACCCCGTTACTTCAGAGGAATGAACCTGGAGGAGTGGGTGGCACCGATGCCAGGCCGGCCGTGCTTCACCGGCTTGTACGTGATGGAGAATTCCCCCAGGTAGTGACCGATCATTTCGGGCTGGAAGAGAAAGGAGAGATCCGCGCTGGAGGCAGCGACCCGGGCCGGGGGCACAGGGCACAGCCCTCCCCCACGCCACCCCCCGGCAGCCCGCGGTGGGTCGGGGACAGTTACAACCCTCGTCCCCGCGCCGGCAGAAGGCCCCGGTTGTTTGTTCTGGAAACGCTGCGCATGGAGCAGGCGTTGCCTGTGGCGCCGCCGCGCCTGGGCTCCTCCTGCTCCACGTGGAGCCAGAGGGGTCCAGCGGGACGAGGGGCTCCCTCTGCCCCCCAAGAGCCCCCGACCAGCACTGTGCCTCCCGGGAGAGGGGAAAGTCAAAGCCTCAGGGGCGTTTTGGTGCGCTTTCAGGTTGGATTTAAGGCCAGGTACAAGCAGAAAACGCCACTTAATCCTGCCAGCGGGTATCGGGTCGCACCGCCCCGGCTCCCCATCGCTGCAGGTTATCCCGCTCCCGGGAAACCTCCCGCTCCCAGGAAACCTCCCGCTCCTGCGAGCGGCCCAGGATCCGTTTCATTGGAAACCGGCGCCGGCGGGCAGGGAGCCAGGGCCGAGGGCAGCCAGCGCACATCCCCGGCCCTCCGGACGCAGCAGCACAGGCACGCTCAACGACAGCCACCTTATTTTGTTACTGCAAAGCCGCGCCGAAGCCTCGTCAGGCCTCGAGACCCCTCTGCGAGCGGCCCACCCTCGGGACGGGGGACCTCCGGGTGTCCCTCGGGGCCAGCTTTGCTCCAAGCAGGAGCCTCGGCCTCCCCCTCAGACAGCGGGCGGGAGCAGGATCACGCGAGGTGTTCAAAAATGAACGGAGACGCATTCAGGGTGCTCAGCTCGGATCCGGACCGGGGCTCTCGGGATGCGGCCGCGACTCCTCACCTTGATCTCCACCTGGTTGAAGGTCTTGCCGTTGTACACGCCGACCATGCTGCCCACCATCTCGGGGAGGATGATCATGTCCCGCAGGTGGGTCTTCACCACCTCCGGCTTCTCCATGGGCGGCGCCTCCTTCTTGGCCTTACGCAGGCGCTTCAGCAGGGAGTGCTGCTTGCGGCGCAGCCCCCGGTTGAGACGCCGGCGCTGCCGGGCGCTGTACAGCTGCATCAGCTGCTCGCTGGAAGGGACGGAGAGACCGAGCCTTGGAGCGCAGCCTGCGGGGAGCTCCCCGGGGACCCCGCGCTGGCAGCGTTACCCGCTCAGGGACCTCAAACGGCCCGGACGAGAAACCGCAGAGCCACCCAAA